TGTAGGAGCAGTAACAGAAGAAATTTCTATGAAAAAAACACGGCAGCAATACCTATGGAAAATACAGCAGCAACAGCAACATAAGCTATTGAAACGGCAGCATTAGAAAGAGCACCCAGCAGCAACAGCAACAACAGCAGCAACACCAACAGCAGCAACAGCAGCAATGCATGTGGAAACCACCACAGCAGCAACTATGGAAAACTTAGCAGCAACAGCAACATTATATATACAAAACAGAATGAGAAGCAACAGCAGCAACATTAGATGCATTGGCAATGCATGTGGAAAGCCTTGCAGCAACACATGCAACATCAGCCACATCCATAATAATGACAGTCAGAAAAAGAAGCAGCAGCAGCAGAAGAATCACGAAAGCTTCTGGTAATTGCTCTGCCTTCCACGTCTCTTTCTTCTTTCTTGAATTTCATCGCAAACTTTCTCCGTTGTTCTTGCACGTTCTGCCTGCTCCCATTTCATACTGTTTGGAGGGGGTGGGGCGGGGGTAGAGGGGGTGCTGAAGGGGCAAAAGGGGGTGGAGAGGTCGCCGACAACATTGTTGGCAGAGCAATTGTCGCTGCTGCCTCTTTTCTGCTGCTTTTGGAACTTGTTTTTTTTTTGTTGTTGTTGTTCGTGTCTGTAGGTTCGTGTTTTGTAGGTGCCACACCATTGTTGTTGCTGTTGCCGTTGTTGTTGTTGGCATCGTCAGGTGCGTTGACAAGTGGAAATGCTTGCCCGTGCATTGCTCTCATTGCACCGACAAATATTTATACTGCCTTTCCCCCTGGCCCCCTTCTTTTGCCCCTCCCCAAGACCCCACCCCATTTCCAGCCCCTCGTCATTTTGCAATACACCGCAACCAAAATTATAGTATTACAGCAATATGATTTCATTGCTGTTGCCTTAATTCCTGTTTTTCGATCAAATAATAGTATAGTGTAATTATAATATGGAAAAATTCCATTTTAGTAGCCACGATTTCAATACATTTCAAATGGCTTGTTGGCAAAAGATGAATGCATAGAAACAATAAATATTTGGTGACTGGTTATCAAAAAATTTCAAATTGTTTATAGAATTTGATAATACAAACAAATTTTTGTTTTTTTAAACGGAAATACCATTTTAGATACTTTTGCTTGTTTCTTTCAAAATTTATTTTAAAATATTATTTTTTCGGCAATGAAATCATGATGAGTGATCCAAATTCTCAGAAATCGTTAAAGATAGTCTCTAAATGTGGTTGGAACAACAGTATTGTTTTAAGCATAATTCAGTTTATTCAAATTCTTAACGAATTTTTTATTTTATTTGCATTCAGGTTTTGATATGAGTTTTAAACCCTAAAAAATTTAGTTTATCTATCGATATTAGTGCGTATTTAAAATGTTACCTTTGAATTGCTTTTCAGTGTAAGCTGCTCCCGGGTTTTGTCCTCGATTTTCTCGACCGTCTCTTTTCATTTTCCCCGTCCCTTGTTTATTGTTTGCGTCGATTAATCAGCGCATTTAATATGCGGCAAACGCACAGCAACAACAACAACAACAACAGGAGGGGGAGGAGGAGCTATAGACCCCGGACCCAAAGCTAAAGCTAAAGCCGGAGTTCAGACAAGTTGGGTCCAAGCCAACTAACCTGTTGCTTTTAGCCCGCTTTCTCCCTCGCACCTCCGCCTGATATTGTATTATTGTTTTTCAGCCCGTTTGTCTTCCCTCTTTTTTTCATTTAACGCCTTTCCGCTTCCGTTTTGTAAATAATTTATTTTGAATTTCTCGCTGGCAATATAATTATGCTCGTTTTTCGCTTTGTTAAACTTCCGCTGCATGGTTTTTGGCTGCATTTTCACAAAAGCACAAAAACTAAAGTGGTGAATTTGCATTTTCGTTTTGAAACCATAAAAGGGGCTAAAAAACCAAGTTGCATATAAATTAAGTGGAGGAAAGTCAGCGGCCATAAAGCCAAAAAAAGTTCTCAAAACTTTCTCTAAAATACAGCTACAAAAATAAACAATAGAGGTAACATTTTTTGTCAATTATATATTTGATAATTCATCATCCTCCGACTTATCCCACACAATCTCCCACAAATGTCATAATCGAAAATTTGAGCAATTATAGCACGTGGGCTCTATAAATAAGCTTGTAGTTGTTGACTGGCTGGCTGTGTGCAGTTGTGCAATGTGATTACTACAATTACGCCGACAAAAACCCTTTGTGAAGTCGAGCAATCCGAACCCAACCCAACCCCATTTCGCATCCAGTCACACAGTGCCTGGCATTTATCAGTTTTCTGCTTAAAAACCGCAATGAACTTGTTGTGCGATCGACCATTAACCGATAACACCCACCGCCAGCGATAGCGGTATCAGAGTGGCCTCTGGGCACCAAAGGGTTAATGTTTTGCGGAATTTAAAAAATGGTACACAACTTTGCGAACTTTTATACTTCAAGGGGAATAAACTTTTCAAGAAGGCCACAGTGGTGTATTAAAATTCATATACAATATTTAGCTTTATCAGGAAAGAATGAAGAAAACTTTTTAAACTGTAGTTTTATGATCTTTATATAAAATATATTTATATTATATAAATATTTATAGAATCCATAACATAAATCTAGGTACAGAAATATATGGGGTAACTGATTATGATACGAATCGAGCACTGAAAACAATACGATTATCACTATGTTCCTATTTGTAATACAATTAAAAAAAAAGCAAATCCTACTTCAATCAAACATGTAATATAGTAGTTATGCATTTTTTGTTTGCATAAAGCTCAATTCGATTTCGGAGCTACGAGAGTTGATCGGATGTACCGGGCAAACGCCCCGCAAATCATTCGATACGACGCCCCCTTTTAGGTTCATGCACCCCCACACTCATCCGCCTCCGCCCCCATTTACAGTTGGCTGAATCTTTTATGCAACAGACACAGAAATTGCAAAAGCGCCGAGAAGGGGGAAGCTAAAGCACAAATACGAATACGAATAGAAACCGCAGGCAGCGCAGATTCGTTTTGTTTGCTAAAACTGCGTCACGTTGCAACTTTGACGCTGCCGCCGCCTCCGATGTGGCTGCATCTCCTCCGCATCTCTCATTTTCAGCTACTGCTGCTGAGATTTGCGTAAACAAAATCGGTTTTATTATTTCCTTTTTTTTTTTTTTTACTAGCGTTGTGTAACCCGAGGGACATATGATGTCAAAGCGATGGCAAACTTTTGTGCTGGATGTGCACTTGCAAAAGAAAATGATGGAAATTGATTAGAAACTTAATTTATTGCTTAGATAAATTTATAATCGAAAATATTATTCGGTATGCAAGGTACTACAAGCAATTTCATTCACCAATATTTTTTTTTTTTTTATTTATATATAAATTTAATAAATGTCAGTTATGGTTCCCAAATAGTTTAAAAAATTATACAAAACAAAATACTGCAATACTCCCTGATTTGTATATAATATCTCCCAGTTCATGAAAGAATTTCTCCTAGTGCTTTCACATAACTTGTTGCTGGTGGCAGGATGATGCAGCTAGTGCTGTTGCCACGTGAGCGTTGTGCAAGAAGTCCTTGCCAGGGACAGAACTTTTCTAACAGAGAGGGCAATCGAATTGTGGGGCAGATGGGGCGAAAGGCAGTGGGAGGGGAGGGGGGAGGCTTGGAAACTGGGCAACCTTCGATTTGACCTTCGCTGCCTCCGCCGCCGACTTTTGCCTTCGCGATGACCTCCACTAACTGCTTGCCTTTCCATTTCAATTTCGGATTTCAACTTGGACTTCAACTTTTTTCTTTTGGCTCCATTTTGCATAATTTATTGCATTTAGTTTTCATTTCATTTACTGCTGAGGCGGCCTCAAGTTAGTGCCATAAATTTCCCACCGCACGTCTCCGTTTTCATCGCGTGTGTCCTTAATTTTAGCTTTGATTGCCTTTCACTCCTCGCCGATGTCCAGTTTTGCTTTTCCCAGGCTGACCACGCCCACATGAACCTTCTGGTTGTCCCAGGAAACCGCTTTTTCCTTTCCCTGGCGTATATAATTGGCCCAGAGTGCGTGGGATTGTTTCTCCCCTTCGCCGTTTTCCTTTCGCTATTTTTATGCCCCTCGCTTCCTTTCATATCAAATGTCCTTTGACGTAAATTAATTAAGTTATGGGAACACGTGAAGAAGTAGCAACCGAGGTTAGGAGGTTGTTATGGAGCTGGCTACTTAACTGCTTCTATTTTTAGTTGCCCAACTGCGGGAAGTCAGGCAAAGTGGATGGATGGGTCGCCAGATGGTTGGCAGAATGTTAGTTCTAAATTAGAGCCATTCAGTTAAAATCTCTTATTAGTTAACTAGGACACAATCAAAAATTATATAAGGGCTTGATAACTTTAAATAATACAATTAAAAAAGTTTCTATATTCAAAAATAAATGCAAGTTCTGTGTAAACAATTTGTTTGCTGCTTGGACAGGTTTCTATTAATAGAGCTTCAGGCGTATGAATATTATCCACGCACCTTCCTCATTGTCTGGCCGATGTCTCCACTTCCCGGTCGCCCATCTCCACCTCAACCCCCCCTATCCACCCATTCACTTAGTCATCTTCATGATTGTTGGCCAATTCCCATAACGTTTTCCTTTTTTCGGCGCTTTCTTCGCCGCTTTGTTGGGGGCGTTGACAAGTCGCAAATGCTGATGAGTGCACAGATACAGATTCTATATGCCATGAGAGTGCCTTATATGAGTGGGTCTGGGGCGGAATGAAAAGCGGGAACTGCGTTCAGTTGCATTTCAACGACACGATTGCGAGGTAGCGAAATTGCCTGAAACCGAAAAAGGTGACAAAAGGAAATTTTCCTCGACAAAGAAGCGGAAAGAAGTCAAATACAGAGAACAATGATCTCCTTAGTCATAAGAAGATTACTTAGAAGAGGTAGCAAATAGACCTCACTTATAGGATAACAACTGGACCATTAACTAATTTTGGTATCATTGTTGCGACTCTTTCAGATTGTGATTGCGGCTGCGTGGACTCATACAATTCCAGCCACGGCCCGCCAGCGCAGCAGGACTCGTCAGCAGCAGCGGGAGCAGGATCTGGAGGATCGGGAGCGGGAGCAGGATCGGGATCAGACGGAGCAGGGCCCATCAACAGCCTCAAGACGGCGCACACAAAGGTCGCGACCTCGGGGGTCATGCCAACACGCAGCCCCCCAGCAAAAGGTCAAGTAGTGGCGCCGATGGCGACTACCAGCTGGTGCAGCACGAGGTGCTCTACTCGCTATCGGCGGAGTATGAGGTGGGTTTTCGGTTTCCATAGCTGTATGTTCACGATCTTAACCTTTTTCTCCCCCTTTCTTTTGCAGGTCCTGGAGTTCTTGGGCCGCGGCACCTTTGGCCAGGTGGTCAAGTGCTGGAAGCGCGGCACGTCCGAGATCGTGGCCATCAAGATCCTGAAGAACCACCCCTCGTATGCGCGGCAAGGACAGATCGAGGTCTCGATCCTCTCGCGACTCAGCCAGGAGAATGCCGACGAGTTCAACTTTGTGCGGGCCTTCGAGTGCTTCCAGCACAAGAACCACACCTGCCTGGTCTTTGAGATGCTGGAGCAGAACCTTTACGATTTCCTCAAGCAGAACAAGTTCTCGCCGCTGCCCCTCAAATACATAAGGCCCATTTTGGAGCAGGTATTTTCTATTGTTTACCAACCATTTGAACTCTGATCTAAACTGCTCTTTATCCTGCTTATTCAGGTATTGACTGCCCTGTTGAAGCTGAAACAACTGGGCCTGATCCATGCCGATCTGAAGCCGGAGAACATCATGCTGGTGGACCCAGTGCGTCAGCCCTACCGCGTCAAGGTGATCGACTTTGGCAGCGCCTCGCATGTGAGCAAGACGGTGTGCAACACGTACCTGCAGTCGCGCTACTACCGTGCCCCCGAGATCATCCTGGGCCTGCCCTTCTGCGAGGCGATCGACATGTGGTCACTGGGCTGCGTGGTGGCCGAACTCTTCCTCGGCTGGCCGCTTTACCCGGGCAGCTCAGAGTTCGACCAGATCCGCTACATCTCGCAGACGCAGGGCCTGCCCACGGAGCACATGCTGAACAGCGCCTCAAAGACCTCCAAGTTCTTCTACCGCGACGTGGACTCCACGTACCCCTTCTGGCGGCTGAAGACCACCGAGGAGCACGAGGCGGAGACGAACACCAAGAGCAAGGAGGCGCGCAAGTACATCTTCAATTGCCTCGACGACATCGGACAGGTGAATGTGCCCACCGATCTGGAGGGTGGCCAGTTGCTGGCGGAGAAGACGGACCGTCGGGAGTTTATAGATCTGCTGAAGCGCATGCTGACCATCGACCAAGAGCGGCGACTCACGCCCGCCGAGGCGTTGAACCACTCGTTTACGCGTCTGACCCATCTGGTGGACTATGTCTACTGCAACAATGTGAAGGCATCCGTACAGATGATGGAGGTGTGCCGCAGAGGCGACTTCCACACGTAAGTAGCGAGGCTCTTTGCCAAAAGATTGTGTCTGAATATTGTATATTAAATACCTTTATCCCCTGCAGAGTACAACCCGCGTCGACGCTGGTGACCAACTTCGTTCCCTCGAGCACGGAGAACATGACGTTCACGATCAACAACCAGCTGACCAGCCAGGTGCAACGTCTCGTGCGCGACGGTCGTCCGCTGGCCTACGAGGGACTGTACCAGATCTACAACGGACGCAGTGTGGCCCGGCAGTATCCGCCGGCGCGGAACGACAGCTTCCAGCACCAGCTGGTGTCGAACATCCTGTGCCCGCCCTCCTACCAAACGATGCCCAGTCCCACCAAGCACGTGGTGGTGGGCAGTGCCACCATGCAGCCCCCGCTGCAGGTGCCGCCGCAGCAGTACGTCAACGTGCCCGTGCCAGTGTCCATGGTGGAGCCCACTTCTGGCCAGAGGATGGTCCTAACGAATCGGGTGCAGGCCAGCGGAGTTGCCTGGCCGCAGACAGGCAGGCAGATGGCCTTGGTGCCGTCGTGGCCCCAGCAGGCGCCCGCCCATTCGCTTATCGTGGACTCGACGCCGCTTTTCAATGTGGAGGAGATCTATCCCAAGCACCACCTCAACTTGCCACGCAACGATCTCAAGAAGGAGTCGCCGGCTCATCATATAGCGTGAGTATTTACAAGACACCCTTTGGGGGCAACCCATTCTCATGACGATCTATGTCTTCCAGCAAGGGCAACTCTTACCGCGTGCCGCGCCACGAGAAAAAGGAGCACCAGCAGCTGTCGCCGGTGAAGAAGCGGGTGAAGGAGAGCTCGCCGCCCCACCAGCAGCGGTACCAGCGCACCGCCCACGTCTCGCCGCAGTACCACACGCACCACAACTGCAACTACGGCAATGGCGGCGGCTACAGCGCCAGTGCGGGATCGGTGGTGGCCTCCTCGGCTGCCTCCGCTAGCAGTGAGTGCAGATGGAATACCAAAGTGATCCAGGCCATGTTTATTTCGATTTAATACTTGCAATCGAAATGACTATGGAAACTGAAGGCCTGTGCTGCAGGATATCTACTAATTTGCTGTCTTTCCTCCCCCAGATATTGTGAACGGAAGCTCGTCGAGCTCGCACCACCATCATGTGCCCGTGGCCCATGCCCAACCGTACAGCACCTCCTCGGGTCACCACATTGTGAGCAACTGCAACGCCAACGGAGGAGTGGGAGGAACAGTGGTCTACCAACAGCCGCCGGCCCACGCCCACCAGACGCATCCGCATGCCCAGCAGCCGCATCCCCAGAATACGCAGCATCCGCAGCACGTGAAGCAGCCGACGATCACCATCCACGACACGCCCTCGCCCACGGCCGTGATCACGATCTCCGACAGCGAGGATGAGGGCGGCGAGGGTGGAGGAGCCCAGGTGCCGGTGCTAAAGCAGCGGGCGCATGCCCAGTCGCAGACGAGCAGCAGCCTGCTCCAACACGCGCCCAGCTCGTCCTGCAGCAGGAGCAGTGCCCACCAGCAGCACCCACATCCACAGCAGCAACAGCAACAGCAGATCACTTATGGTAATGCCCAGACTCAGAACCCGAATCAGAACCAACTGGGAACCGCCAGCGGCAAGGGTAGCCAGCATAGCAGTAGCCATAGCAGTAACAGTAGCCACAGTAGCAGTAGTCACCACCACAACCACCACCACCCTCATCATCTGAATCCGTCTCATCATCTGAATCTGAATCTGAATCCGCCTCATCAGCCAGCGAGTGGAAGTGGAATAGGAACGGGAGCGGGATCGGCAGCGGGATCGGGATCGGGATCGCAGCTTCAGCATCAGCTTCAGCCCCAGCCACCGACTCATTCTCAGCCGGCGACGCATCCTCATTACCAAGCCACGTCCACGTCCTCCTCCACGTCTGCTTCCACTTCCAGTCACCATCAGCATCACCCCCATCATCCCGCCCCCACCTCCTCATCCTCCTCCACCGCCGCTCAGTTTGTCCCTGTCCCTGTCCCCCTGCCCGTCCCCGTCCTCTGCCCCAGCTCCTCTCAATCTCAGTCGCATCTCAGTCGCCATAAGTCATCGCACGTCCAGCTAGTAATTCCATGCGTAACCGTAGGTGACCACGATCCGGAGGATGCCCGCCGTCGTCATCATGCTGCCGCCGCAGCCGCCGTGGGAAGTCCCAAGCACCACCATCAGCACCAGCACCAGCAACAACAGCAGCAGCCTGTCCCGCAGCAGGCTGCTCCTCCGCCGCAGCAGCAGCAACAGCAGCAGTACCAGCCGCAGCCACCACCGCAGCAGGTGCTGCCACAGCCGCAGCCCAGCATCAAGTACGAGCCCGGCCAGTCGCAGAAGAAGCGCATCCTGGCCATGGCCCAGAGCGAGTGCGGCTACCAGCCGCAGGTGCCCAGCCAGCCGCCGGCCTCCGCCAGCTTGCCGCACATTCCCACCAAGCAGGAGCCGGCCGAGTTCTACCCGGAGTATGCAGCCGCTCCGCCGCAGCAGCTGGACACGAAGCGCTCGTCCTGGGCTCCCACCTCCTCGGGAGCAGGCGTGGCCGTGCTGCCTTTGGCCCATCCGAAGCGAGAGGCTCCCTCGGTGGCCCCCATCAGCTATGCGGCCTCGGTGGTTCCACCCTTGGCCCACTCCAAGAGCAGCTCGGCCTCCTCATCCTCGTCGATCAGCGCGGCGGCAGCAGCAGCGGCTGCTGCTGCTGCAGCGGCGGCGGCCAGCGTGGGTCCTCCATCGTGGGGTCCTCCGCAGGTCTACCGCCAGCCGTCGCAGCCGCCACCGGGCAGCGTCGGGTTGCCGGGAGCCACGCAACCTCCGCCATCGACTGTGGCCCCGCACCCACATCCGCACCACCACAGCCATGGCCATCATCATCACCAGGCCGGCACACCGCTGGGCGGATCGCCATCCTCGACGGCGGCGGCCGCTTTGTTGCAGTCGGACATATATGCGCAGGGCGACATTTACCGCCGGCCCACGGTGTTTGTTTCCCAGGCGGCGCCGAGCTATGCCTACGCCAACCGGGCGGTGGTGGCACCACCTCCGGCCCACAACAGCTCCAGTCGTCAGGTGGGTTCGGTGCTATTGTAATGAATGTGAGAGGATAGCTAACCGATGTTTCATTTACTCCCCAGGTGATTCCATCACATCCGCTGCCGGCGCACATCCAGATACCCACCCAGTACAGCCAGTTTGGACCGCTCAGTCCTGCACAGGTAGCCGCCAGCAAACATGCGGCGCACTTCGCGCCCACCAACATATGGTATGGGGCTGAGTAGGCCGACGAAGGGAGGTGACGGGGAGAGGGGCGATGAGGAGAGACGCGGGACGAGGACGAGGTGCATCCACCCAGAGCCATGGGCCAAGAACCAAGACCACCCAACCACACACCGCACACCACCACCACCCACTGTTGTTATGATCTTGAGCTAGAGCCCAATTGAATGATTCAACGCTCGAGTGAGTCGAAAGTGCCGGGATGCCGAGCCGAAATTAGATTCAGACTTGTCTGTCAAGTCGCGAACGTGGTGCTAATGGACGAATATCCCTTTTCTATTCCCAGATCGTTTGCGGCCTCGGGCGAGGCAGTTGACCATCCGGAGCAAAGCCAAGAGTTGCAGCAACAGCAGTTGCAGCTGACCCAGTGCTGGTGGTTCATGCTGCTCATGCAGCAGACCATCATCCACAACAACTCCATGTTGCAGGCTGGCAGCGACGACACAGCAGCAACAACAGGAGCAGGAGCAGCAGCAGCATCCACATCCTCAGACACGGCAGCAACACGTAAAGCACGCCGCCAACATTAGGCTCATGTCCAAGTCCCCAACCTCATCGCCAGTTCTCAGTTAGTTTTTTTTTGAGATCCCGCAGGATCGCACATTCATTGATTACCATTTCTGCCACTATTAATTTTTATTATTTTTTTAAATAATATTAAAAATAAATGTACAGCACTCCTACACGCAGCTGGGTGTACAGTGCTCAGGCTAACTTTTTGCAAGTTGTGGTTTTAGGCACAACGCCACACCCGCACACACACTACAGCTATAGCTTCTATACCCTCAAACTATGCTAACTAGAGGCATATCAAGAGTGGTCTTTCTTCAAAACAAAAGCGTTTCATTACTGTGTGTTGTGTGTTTTATTGATTACTTCCACATAATATTCTCTATAATCCACTTATATATTATATACATGCATATGTAACACTATTATTACGAATACTATATATCAACCAGAAAGCAGAAGAAAACTAGAGTTTACGGCACGCCGACAACTGCGACATTAGGCCAGCGAGCCAGTAAGAGAAAGCTTCGAAATTCCCTAGCAAGTACCTCAGAAAACCGAAAAGGAAAACGATAACTTAACAGCAGCAGCAGCAGCAACAAATGCAACAGCAACCAGAAAAACAAATAAACAACATTGTTATGCAATTTGCCTTTTACACAAACAAGCAACAAAACAAAATGAGAAGACGAGACGATGAAACTGAAGATGAAGACGCAGGATTAGAGTTAGACGAGGTTAGTAGAGAACCACAACAAATTGAATACCGCAAAAACCTTACTAGCAAACAAAAAGCAAATAAAATAGATTACCCTAGGAGATATCAACAAAGAGAACCTAACAATTACATAGCTCATAGATATAGTGAATAACGCGGGACAAGGAGGTTTAATGGCGAACGTTTTTTACACACTCGTACTCACTCATAGGAATAGCCGCGAAAAGAATTACAAATACGATTAACGATTAACAGATAACAATTCTAAATTATGTTTAACGAGCAACAACAAATAATTATAGGAACAAGTGTATATAAATGCATAGATATCGATACTAGAGCTAGCCGGAGCCCAACTAAAATCCGATTTTAAAACAAATCAGCGCTAGTAAGGAACAGTTTCCCGACTGCGAGTTAAGGTTCCAGTTGTCTGGCCAAATCAGCTAAAATTGTTGTTCATCAATTGTTGAAATGTTAACTCGCAGTGGAGAAACCGGCCTTAATCTGCAGTCCGTTTAATTTTAAAATATCACATTTCTTTTAACCCATCTGTGTCCCAAAAAAACAAGATCTGCGTTTTAGTTATTCTTTCGACTAGGGAAGCGCATGAGAAGGTTTACTAAAGTACAAAACCAAACATAAATAAGAAGCAATCTAGCAGTTTAGGCTTTTAGCGTTTGCACCCCACTACAACCCCTTGTTTTAGGCTTTTCCCCAGAGAAAATTTGTAAATAGAGAATGCAATTTTGTACAAACCTGGCTTACTTTAAACACGCCCACTAAATCCTATATATAAAATATAAACTAAATCTTGTTAAATAGGTTTCCTAAAGTATTTCGTAGTTAGAATTAACTTAACTTGTCGCGTATAAAATAACCGAGCAGAAACTAATTTTTTCGTTCTCCTGGCGACGATTTCTCAGTTGAGTTAACGTGATATTGGGAAATCGGCACTTGGAGGGTGGCACTTCCTATATAAAGAAATACATACTGATACTGATACAGGTCAGAAGTTAATTTAACCGGCTAAGGGAGCACCCGCCCCATCCTCCGCCCCTTCCTAGTTCAGCTGTGTACAGTAGCGATTTCGGGATCGGAATGAATTAACTCCGAAAGGAAAGGATCTAGCATATAATTATTGTGATGTAGTTTTTAACAAGCGAGCGAAAGTTTTTTGTCAGTCGTCGTCGTCGGCGGCGAATAGAAATTACCTAAAATTATGAATAACCAATTGCGATACGGATACGGAATATGCATCTATATGTTAACTAATTAGTGTGCAGGATTCAATAGCATTAGCACGACAACAAATCGTTTTTTTAACCAAGTAAACAACAACTTTTTAACAACCGAGAAATAACACTTTTTGTAGTAGGAGAAGGATGGGAATATAGCATGCATAAGCGTAATTAAGAAACGTTAGTGTTGTGAATATATACGAGTAAATGCAAAAAACAAAAAATTATCGATATATTTTGTGTATAAACAATAACGGCAACCAGCAGCTAACAATTGTAATAAACAATAAGCGAAAAACACAGCTCGGCAGATTTAAGATTCTTGTTTAAAGTCGAGAGAACCTTATCTAGATAATAGAAATAGATGTATTCAACAAGTTCTTTTTTTATAGAAATTTTATGGACCATTCAACTAAAATATATATAGTTAAATAAGCATGGATATTGAATAAAAAAACAGCTGTGTGACCGTGTAGTATGTCAGCGGAAAAGTTGAGATCTGTGTTTCCGATTTGCGTTTCTTGTCCTGCACCCACTCAGTGTGCAAATTTATATTATAAACGAATATGCTAAATATCTGCGACGGCAGAGGAACTTTTCTTCACTTTCTACTCAATGTTTAGGAGCATCAAAAAGAAAGCAAAATCGAAAAAAAAAAACAAGAAAACAAATCAAGAACGCTTTAAATGTAACAAAAACGAAACGTTAATAGACTTATGAAAACAACAAACAAACAAATTAACTTTATATTAAACGACAAATTAAATTTATATTACAAACAACAAATTACATTTATATTTAGAAAAAACCGACAAACAAATTAAACTTATATTAAACACTCAATAAGCAGTCAGCTGGGTCTTGGTCGCTCGCAGACTTTTGTGGCCCACTGTCGGAGGATTTGTATTTAAGAGGGATTCAGAGGTGGCGATCCACACGAACACTCTAATATACGTATATATTTAAAAGAGAAATGTTTTAACTGTGTAGCCTTAATATTTGTACTCGTCGTCCTCTCGACTTCCAACAAACAAAAAAAATTATGATATACGATACTATAGAGCGATAAATGCTGATCGGTGTTTACTACAATATTTCATATGTACTTGTTTAATCATACTGAGGATGAGTTGCCCTTACTGTACTATTTTAACCATTTAAATTTACTTTTAATTTACTTTGTTTCTTTGCTTAACTTTGTTTAATATATCATTAAATGTATAACAGAAAATAGCCACAACATAAATCATATATATTGCTTACTATTAGCAGATTTATATATCCTACAAAATACAGAAATCGTAAATATATGTAAACAGATATCGTATCCTTTCGTTTCACTTCAGTTCTATTATTTTTATTTTTATTTCATTTTTTAGTGCTTTTAAGATCATATAATCAAAGCAAACGGAGATGATGATAATGAACAACAACAAATACAACATATATCCCACCAAATTACAAAGGAGTAAATAATTTTTAAGTTTAACCGATTAGTGAATGAACTTAATAATAATCGTAGTTATTGTGCAATAATATAGATATCGATCGGCCAGTCAAAGCAATTGTGCAACAATTTAATTTTAGTGTTGGGGGACCGACTAGTAGGTCCCCGAAAGAGGCTAGCTTCAGCTGATTTAGATTTAGTTAAAGACCAACCAGGTTTCTGCAGATTATAGATTGATTTCGCACGCCCCGCCACGCCCCTCGAACCCTGAACTTTGAACTTTGAACCACCCCCCACGAAGTTGTTTGATTGACCAACAATTGATGAGCTTTTACCGGAAAGTAAAGATATTTTGTTTTGCATTTACGAAAAACAAGGCAAGTTAGAGAACGAAGGAAGCCCCAACCGAACCGGAACCGGAAATTTCAAACCAATCTGTAATAACCAGATGGGAGAATTGAGGAGTTGACAAACAAGATTGATAAGAACCCGTCCATAATTAGATTTCTTTCGTTTGAGCTGGACCTGAACAACTGAAACACGCACTTCGGACAGCTGGAGCGAGATCCAAACAATTAGCAGGGGCCCTCTCCAACTTAGCATAATGATACGGATAAAACCGACTTAGTAGGCTACCAGTAACTTAATTACGGATTACGATAACGATATACTCTTCGTGTTTCCTTCACTTGAAGAACTTTCTAAAACTCTCTTAAAAAATTGTGGTTCGGATTGACATTAGATGTTTTTAATACACACAGATTACCACAGATTAATCTATGATATATATGCGGATATATTTTATTAACTAAGAAATTATTTCCTAGGAAAGAGGAGAGATCTTAACGATAACCGAAATGTTGATGTGTGAAATTTATAAGACTAGCATATTTCCTACCTAAAGAAAAACCAAACAACAGACAACAATATACGTTATATATATACACGAAATATGATAAATAGCAGCTAAAGCTGAGATCATACTCATAGACATATACACGCTAAGACATATACGGCTAACGGTAAAGATATTGAATTTAAAATGATCGTACCTTTTTGCTGATTTCAAAACAAGCGTGAAATTGAAAGCGCCAGAGACGAATAGTCGTCATTGGGTGATGCAAACGTAATCGAAACAATATATGTTTTAATAGATCAGAGAGAGCACTTTTATGGGATTTGCTTTTTATAAACGACATATACGAAATATAGATGTACTTATAGCGGTGGCAGTCCGCACTTTGGGCGGTTGCGCGTTTCAGATTAAAGAACTTAAATATTTTTATATACGAACTCGAGTAGAGACTACCGATATCCATATACATACATATATGATTAGCGAAAATAGCGACTAGAGGCCAGGCTTTGCATTCGATTACAAAGTGAAAGGAAGTAAACCAAAGACGGATAATCAAAGCGCGCGCACACACCACTCATAAACACACACACTGAATCACTCACCACACCGTTAGGATATAGGGTTTGTTTTCGCGTGGGCACCAAGTCATATTCATATGTACGACCTTGACTCCCCTAGCACTTGTAAAAACCTACCTAAGATTACGATTACGAATCCCCGACCTCAGATTTGATCAAGGGAACCCTGGGTTAGACAACAACGAATTGCCGGGCAATGTGGAACCAGAAGCTCCTGTCCCAAGAACGCAACCCGCAACAAATTAATGTTTTCGATCGCCAACGAAGAGATTTGACCTTGACCAGTCGTTTCGTCAAAGTCAACTCACCAACCAAAACTTCTAGATGTCAAAGTCAACTAACCAATACTGCAACACAACTAAACATGGAGTTACCATTTCACCAACACTTCATACAAATTTCACCAACACTTCACCAGTCAAAGTTAGCTCACCAACACTATATACAAATTTCACCAACAGTTCACCCGTCAAAGTTAGCTCACCAACACAATTCTAAATGGATTCACCAGCACCAAAAACTCACCAACACTTCACACGTGACTCCTCTAATTCAACTCCTCCTTATAGAATCACCAACATCAACTATTCCATGTATTCACCAACACTCAACCACACCAATCTCTAATCGTAATTAATCGACTTTTTTGTATTCTACTCGTATCTATGAATGTGTACTGAATGTTTTTACTTGGTGTCCTCTCTTATTTAGGCGTAAGGAAATCGAAATCGAAAGGATAATGAAACGGAAATGAAATTCAAACTTATATCAAAAACCAAGCACACCGATACATTTAGCATTGTACTTGATAAGCTATCGATACTAGCGTTTAGTTGTATGCGAATCAAAATATATATACTCGAAGTAATAAGTATATCTCTCTGTCTTAATCGGATATGCGTACCTTTTTGAGGGGCCCCCACAAAGATAAGGTGGCCAGCTAATTTATCGAATACAAGTAATCGTAGTAAATAAATTTAATTGAACGTCTCGAGACCAAACCAAAGCAAAAGCAAAACCAAATCCAAATTCAATCGAACTAAACGAAAGAATGAGCCGCAACGTTTGTATTTATGTATAGAGTTCCCCCTAACCAACAGATAAACCTATAACAATCGAGTTCCGATTTCATGAGAGTTAGGCAGCAATTAAGCTAAACATACAAATAAATATTACGATAAAGATAATGATTAACTCAAGTTACGTCAACTTAGTGGCAGTGTAAAAGCGTCTAGATAATTGATAGATATGATTAAGAACTTTTGACTTTTATGGCTGTTTAGAGATTTTATAATAATAGAAATTATATACATACATGAGATAAATAAGCCCAAACATTTTCGTAAATTATTTACATACTCTGACACATTGACACCACAACCAACACTCGACTAACCAAGTTTAGTCCCTCAAATGATTTTCGGCTAGTTCTGGCTTGGAATACCCCCAATCCCATCCTGCGGGAATTTCGGAGGACGTAGAGAAACAAATCGAACATTGTGAAATTTAGTGTCTTTACACTTTAAAGAGAATATATACAAAAAAACGGATTAATTAAGAATTGTGAATGTAGAACGCTATAGCTAAGCCCCACTCAAACACTTACACGGACCCAGATTCAGATACAGATGCAGATACACCCACTCACAGATGCAGATGCATATAAATTATGATAATTACATACTCTCGTAAATACGCCTAAAAGGATAAACGTGTAGTAACCTACAGCCACAACAAACAATTACAAATAAATGTCTATATATGAAACGAACATGATTTAATATGCGCTAAAGGCGCGTATCATTATATACTTAAATGTATTTGTGTATATGGAAACAAACGCTATCAAAGTAAACCAAATTATATAAACTTACAAAAGAAAAGAACAAAAAAAGAAAGAGATACAAAAAACGACAACAAATAACAAATACAAAACACAAAATTATCAAAAAAGAATTGACTATCTGGTGTTTTAATTTAATCAGGGGGATTAACAAATATTAATGGGGCATTACTTTTTGGGGCTTGAAGTTTACCTACATATAAACGCTTGAAGTGGAGTTTTGGGTCACCTTCCTGAAAGCCATTGGAAACTTCAAAGTAAAATATACATTTAATATAAAATATACATTTACTATAATAAACATTTTAATGCAGATAACAGTTTTAGACCAAAATCATCTATGGGCATTTCATTTCAAGATCGGTATCATTTTTTGCATAAAAAACTCTGAATCAGCAAGCATTGCTTACTTTTCTATAGTTGGCTTTTTCCTCAGTGTAAAGAGGTTTGTGACACTGCTTCTCAGCACCGCTTCTTTAGCAGAGCTCTAAACCACCTCCAGCGAGTACGGTTTGTTTCGAGGGGTCTGTTCTGGTCACTTTGATTTTGTCGGTGGTAGTGTTTTCCGAACGGGCCACAACGGTCACTCTAAATTTTATTTTTGTTGCGGGAGGTTCGCGGCGCGCGTGCGGAGCAAATTAAACAAAATTTGCGACATGATAAACAAATATATGTGTTAATGTTATTAATTCTACGATGATAAACGGATAAAAGTCCGCCAAAAAGGGTAGGGCCAAGGAAACAGAAGCAAGCCAACTTTGATTTGTGTTTAATTGTTCGGTTTTTTAACGTAATCGCCGCGTCTTAAATCGTGTTAAATGTTTTGGTTTGTACAAGTAAATTGCCAACAATTCAGCCGCTAAAAAGTGCCAAAAAAGAGGCAGAATAAAAAATAAACGGCTAAAAGGAAATAAGCGAAATAAGGAAGCAACGGAAATTCCGAAATTTTGCTCTCGCTCTCTTTCTCATCCTCGCCATGTGTGTGCGTGTGCATGTGTGTGTTGGCGTCGCTAAAAAGTGCTTGTGAAAAATATTAAGGAAGCCGAAAAAAAGAAGGCTTTAAAATTTACTACGACATATAAAAGTGAGAAAATTAATAGAAAAACAACCCGAAGGAGATGGCCTAAAAGTAAAATTAAGTTTTTGGTTTGAAAAACGCAGCAGACTGCAGTGCGTGCACTTGTATGTGCCGCTGCATGTGTGTGTATGTGAGTGTGGAAGTAAAGCAAAAGCAAAAAAAAAACAGTTTTTGCAGCCGGGGTACAAATTCCAATTGGAATCTATAGGAGCAGAAAATTCTCATTCGGCGCATGCGTGGCTGCCAAAAATAAAAGTGAGTTTGTTTTTATAACTGGAAATGCTTCTAAATTTATATGAATTAGTATTAAGTCCAAGTGGGCAAAAAAAGGAGAATGTTTCGCCTTCTCCTTTTCGGCTCTCTTTCTGTTCTATATGCATGTGTGTGTGTGTGTTTTCTTCTATTTTGTTCTTGACTTGTTGTTCTCTTCTTCTTGGCCAGTTACTCTTTGTCTTTCTTCTTGTCTTTCTGCTTTTTTCTTTTAACTGCAATTTGTGCAGTCAGCAAGTGTGAGAGCGAGAGAGATGAAACGATCGTTGGTTTCTACTTTAACCACCCACTCTTCCTCCCCTTTCTTTACCTATCCAAATTATTTTTATTGTATTGGTGCTTTTGCTATCTACCGTTATGTTTCGATTGCGATTTCGTAATAACTGCGATAATATTTGCTCTCTTCCGCTCTTCTTCTCTCTCGCCTTTCTACACTTTTCTGTGTGCGTTTGTAACTGTGAATTGTTGTTGTTTTTATTGATGTGCGTGGGTTGATTCTTATTTATCTATCAATCGGTTTTTTTTTGATATTGGTAAAGTGCAATCGGGTGAAAGAAACAGCAATACAAAAAAGCGAAGAAAAATGCGATAAACGAGTGGAGAAAAGGTAAAAAGCATGTGACATAACGGGAGAGAGGATTTACTTTTGCATAATTTCATACTTCATCATAACTTTTCTATAAATAATTTAAATACTATTTTTTGTAAACTTATAACATGTGACTTTTAAAAGTTATATATAGTTTATATATCACTTTTGTTTAAAAATGCAAAGGAGCCAATTAAAGGATCCTTTATTTTTCGAGTATGCCTCTCTTTCGCACTTCAATTTCCATCGCAGTTTTCAATAAACAAATTTTAAAGAGGGTCTGACGCTCTCGTTTTATTTATTTATATTGCTTTCCACTGCAAAGAAGAGAGATTTTCCATTTTCGGAGACGACACTTGAACAGCGTTTTCTTTGGCCTTTTCCCACAAACATTTCCTCGCTTTGCTCTTGAATGAAAATGTAGTTTTATTTATTGATTTCCATATTGCATTCATCTCGAGCGCTTTCCCGATTTCCCGCTCGCCCACTCGCTGACCCGCTGACCCAGCGGAAAATGGAAAATCGTTTAAGGCAACATTTTAGTGCCCTCTTCCTAGATTTCCCACCCCCTGTCCGCACCCACCCTGCCTCCTATCCCACCAGTTTTCCCCTTTTTCCTTGGGGCGGGGTTAAGGCGATGCCTTGGAGCAGATTAAATGCGCGTCTTAATGCGATTTGCATTCGTCTTTTCCCCGGGTTTCCTTCGTTTTCCCCCCTCCCACTATATCGTGCCTGGTTTGGGGTCAGCGACTGGGAAATCTAATTGAGGAAATTCATATTATTTTCCACTCGCGCCGCTCAGCTCTTTCATTTTCATTTTCCCCGGCTTGACCCCAAAGTGTTTTGGCTTTTAAAGCTCACGTGCCGAGCCTCTTTGGGCCAAAATAAAAATCCCATCTCATGTGCGTGGCCAATTTTGGCCAGGTCTTTTCGGTCTTTAAGTCATGTTGCTTACCCTGTGAGATAAGCGTGTTAATGGCTCATTAGTAGTGGGCTGGTTTAGGTCAGTTTAGAGCCAAATTGCCTAACCGAAGACACAAAGCAAAAGAGTTAACGAGTTTTCAGGCCCCAATCTTTCTCCCACACTCTTCGCGGCTCATAAATGATGAAATGAAATACAAATCATCCAGAAGGAAGTCGGAAATTATAAAAATCTTGAGGGAACCAAACAAAACCCCAGAGAATGATTGTCAATATTTATTCTCTAATATTCGAATTCGGTTAACACAATTGAGTGCATTCCAAACCCTTTCCTCTAACTGTTTTCCTGTAATTTTTTGTAAGCCAAATTAAGGTCAGAAAATTATTGTTGTTCTTTGAAAAAAAATAGAGCATAGCATAATCAATAGCCGAGTCAATAGAAACATTTTGCACAGATCATCTCAATTTGTTAAAACCCTTTCCCCACAATCGCTTTATACGATTTTAAAAATTAAATATTTGAAAAGTAAAAACAGTTTTATTGTGTTTATCAATACCTATCAAATGAAACTATTCTTTTCCCATTCTTCAGGGAACTAATTGTCGGGGAACTCGAATATACTCTCTTTTTGGAATGAAAGATTTGAGTTTATTTGCTTTTCTTTAATTATAGATTAGAATTCTTAAAGATTGTAATTAACTCTTTAATATAAACCTGCATCTGCCAACATAAGTTACAGACTGAGTTTGGAAAAAATAAATAAATTTCTTTAAGTTATAGAGAGTTTTTTTAATCTTTAAACGCTACTGCCCTTCAGTTTTGTTAAGTAAAATTTGGAAATTCGAATTTGGAAAATAAATGTTAGGAAACTTTGACTGTAATTTAAAATCTTATTAGCAGAATGCTTACTTTTCTTATACTAAAATTGATATGTGAAATCAAAAAACAGATTCCAACTTTATAACATGTATAACTTTATCTGGCGAATTGTATTTAAAAAATATTTTTGTGCACACACCCACCAAGTTTCAATATATTTTCCCTGGCACACTTCTGATATTTATCTTCCTATATTTGCTCTCATTTCTGATGCTCACACTCGCCCATCCCTTATTGCATAAATGCACACCCCTCTTTCCATTCATCCCCCTCTTTTTTGGAGGTGTAACTGTCTGTTATACTTTTATTTACTCTCTGACATTATTTTCCAACCGTTGTAAACGTTCTTGATTTTTTCTTCCCGGTTTAATTACTGCATTTCTGATCATTGACTCACTTGCTTCGCTGAACAAGCTCCCCGTCATGATCTCATCTGAAATTCCCCTTCTTAAACACCCTGCAAACTTTTAATTAACAGTATTTTATATACGAACGATTCATTCCGCAACATTTCCCTCAGTAAATATACTTTTTCCAGCACAAAATCAGAACTTACACAATTCATTGCGGAAATCTTTTGGTAATCTCCTTCTTCAAGTTTTTCTTAAGTGATCGCACTTTGTATTTGAGATTTTGCAATCGTCTTTCTTGGTTTTGTAAACATTTCATCTCCAAACTATTGTAGTTCTTCTTGTTTATTGTTGTTTGTTCCACTTTATTCTGCCAATATGGATTGACCTCGTTTTGATTTGTTTACAACCAGCGGAAAATGAAGGGTTAATGGGGGAGGGTTAAAGGGGAGCGACAATTGATGGTTGTGTCTGGTGGCGTTGTGTTTTTGTGGAAGGTGTAAAATGAAAAGCGAAACGTTTACCTGGTAATTTTTGTTGCAGCCATAGGTTTTATTATAGCTTTTGCCTTGGTTTAGTTTTCCCTATTGGGAAATAGTTGTTGGTTGCAATGTAAAATTAGTTTTTAACTAATAAAAATGTTATGCTAAGAAATATATTATAAATTTTGTTTTTAAATCATAAATGGGACATTCTCTTAAATATTCTGTAAGACTGTTTAATGTATTGTTTTGATTGGATTTGATAAATGAATCTGGATCTGATTGACATGTGTCCAAATCATTAACATCTTTTCAATTTGTTGATCATATTTAGATGAAGATTTCCCCTTTCCCTTTTACCCGCACGTAACTTTTACTTTTTTTTGTTTTTCGATTTTTCAGTGTTCAAATATTGACCTCGCTCCCTCGTCTTCTGCCTTCGCCTTTTTAAGTTTTCCCGAAAAAATCTTTTTTCCTAACGATGTCCGCATTGTTTGCAGCTCATTAATTTTCCAAAGGTTTTTCTCTCAATTTTCTCCATCTCTTTGATTTGTTATCTGCATTTCCGCATCAAGTTTTGTGTTTTTCTCCTCAGCTTCTTTTGACGCACACGAACATGCAACTGTTTGTTGCATGTTTTTCTGGCCAAGTGGCAGGGGTTGGGTGGGGTAGGAAAAACACGCCTACAAATTATGTCAAGCTATCTGTAAATGAATATCTCATTTGGCCACTGTGTCAGCTGCTGAAGTCAATCATTAGACGGTCGCTAATTAATTTTAATCTTTTCCAGCACTAAATGAATTTCTTCGTATTAAACGGAAACTAATTTGTTAGTCGCAGCATTATTTATTTTAAATTTTAAAGTAACCTTGAATTCGCTAGACAAAACACAAATTTATAAATCAAATTCATTGGAAACCGGTTCGCATGTTGCTCAAATAGTTTCGCATTTTTCAGCGTTTCTCGATTGAGAAGGGGTGTGTCTTGGGGAGGTGTCCACATATCTTGTTTGGCTTATTTACTAAGCGGTTTAGGATTCTCTCGGCCGCCGCCTCTTCTCCATTTTCAACCCATTAAGCTATAAAACGATTATAAAGTGGAATACAAGACTGAAAAACTTGGTATTAATATCACTCGATGAGCAATGAAAGAGCTAAAAAAAGGTTTTCAATTGGATATATTTTTAGAAATTATTTAGCTGAGTTTACACTTGTCAAAAATAAATAAATTATGGCCAGAAGAGGACAGTCAACATTGAAAAATAATTAAACTACAGTCTAAGAATAAATAATAGATTGCATTTAAGCCAAAAATATCTATCGTCTTAGAAGACAAAAAAACGTTTCAAAAAATTCCTTACCAAAAATGTTTGTCAACTAAAATATTTAGGACATCAGAGATGCAAAATTCTAGCGCAATTAAAACTTTGTGAGCAAACGATTGGGGCACCTTATAATTGAGGTGATTAACTTGGGTGGAATGCCGCAGCGCCAAAAGTATCTATGGGATACGCGAAGTTGCATTCTGAATTGGTGCCAAGTCCAGAGTGACAATTTGGACCTTAGCTATTTCGGTATTTTCTTTGCATCTACATCTTGCCGGAATCTTTGTGATTCTTGAATTAGGCATGGCTGCTAAGATGCATCCGCCAGATACATTTCAAAGGCGCACTGCAACTGCTGTGCGTATCTAAAAATACGAGGCGAAGCCATTCCATCATGACTAGAAAACAACTCTATGAATAGATGAAGAGCGAGCGGAAT